AGTACAATCTATAAAAGAGGTGCTTTGTTTTGTAATTTGTGGGAATAAAGGGAGTTACTAATTTTTTAACTTTGTCAACTTATCTCTTGCTTATTATGCCTAGCCTTCACAAATTTAAACATGGCCACATGGGTCACTCAGTTTTGAGGTGCTTCTCTAGCTACAGTTCAGGGGAGAGAAAACTCTTTCTCTACTCTCTTGGTTGTGATTGGAGGCCTGCAAATTAAGTTGATGAAAGGCAGATTAGCACGTAAAAGACAGATTCGATTTAATCATGTAGGAAGAGAGGCATTAGACTTTGGAGCTTCAGACCAAGAGAAGGGGATGGGAGAGGGGCACTTATGGGAAAACAGATGGTTTTTAGGAAAGATAAATGGGCCTTTAGGAAAATAACTGGGAAATGTCACAATTTAAAAAAAATATATTTTATTATTTGTGATATTATAGTTGGTCCAGTTTTCTCCCCTTTGCCCTCCTATACCCAGTCCCACTCCCTCAGGCAGTCCCCATACTGTTACCCATGTCCGTGATCATTGCATATGTGTACAATGATCTTTGCACTACTCTATTCCCTAGCTGTACTTTACATCCCTGTGACTATTCTGCAACTACCAATTTGTACTTCTTGATTCCTTTACCTTTTTTGTCCATCCCCCACACCCACCAAAATGTTGTTCTCTGTACCTATGATTATGTTTCTGTTATGCTTATTTTGTTTTTTAGAATAAATTGTTGATAGGTATGTATATATTGTCCATTTAACGTTCATATTTTTTATTTTATTCTTTTTCTTAAAGAAGATCTTTTAACATTTTATATAATATTGGTTTGGTGGTGATGAACTCTTTTAGTTTTTTCTTATCTGGGAAGCTCTTCATCTGTCCTTGAATTTTAAATGATAGCTTTGCTGCTGAGAGTAATATTGTTTGTCGTCCTTGCTTTTCATGACTTTGAATATTTCTTGCCAATCCCTTCTAGCCTGCAAAGTTTCTTTTGAGAAATCTGACAGGTTTATGGCGGTTCCCTTGTAGGTAACTAATTGCTTTTTTCTTGCTGCTTTTAAGATTCTCTCTTTATATTTAATTTTTGATATTTTAATTATGATGCGACTTAGTATGGGCCCCTGTGGGTTCATCTTGTTTAAGATTCTCTTCATTTCCTGAACTTATATGTCTATTTTCTTCACTAAATGAGGAAAGTTTTCTGTTGTTTTTTCAAATAGGTTTCCAATTTCTTGCTCTGTGTCCTCCTTCTGGCATCCCCACAATGCAAATGTTGTTACACTTAAAGTTGTCCCAGAGGCACCCTACACTATCCTTATTTTTTGGATAGTTTTTCTTCTTGCTGTTCTGATTGGTTGTTTTTTCCTTCCTTATATTCCAAATTCCTGATTTGATTCTGGCTTCATTCACTTTATTATTGATTCCCTGTAAATTGTTTTTTATTTCAGTGTATCCTTCATTTCTGACTGTTTTATTTTTTTAGTGCTTTTGAGTTCCTCATTAATTTTCTTTTTAAAAAAATATATTTTATTGAGTATGCCATTAAACTTATCCAATTCCCTTCCACCCTGCACACTCCCTACCCCGCATTCCCCAACTTTAGTTCATGTCCATGTGTCACAAGTTCTTTAGCTTCTACATTTCCCATACTATTCTTGCCCTCCCCCTGTCTATTTTCTATCTACCGTCTATGCTTCTTATTCTCTGTACCTTCTCCTCCCCTCTCCTCCTCCCACTCCCCTGTTGCTAACCCTCCATGTGATCTCCATTTGTATGGTTCTGCTCCTGACCTGGCTGTCCACTTAGTTTGCTTTTGTTCTAGGTATGGTGGTTAATAACTGTGAATTTGCTGTCTTTTCATTTTTCATATTTTTTATCTTTTTTTTCTTAGATACGTTCCTTTAACATTTCATATAATAAGGGCTTGGCGATGATGAACTCCTTGAATTTGATCTTATCTGAGAAGTGCTTTATCTGTCCTTCCATTCTAAATGAAAGCTTTGCTGGATAGACCAATCTTGGATATAGGTCTTTGGATTTCGTGACTTGGAATACTTCTTTCTAGCCCCTGTTTGCCTGCAAGGTCTCTTTTGAGAAATCAGCTGACAGTCTGATTGGAACTCCTTTGTAAGTGACTGTCTCTTTATTTCTTGCTGCTTTTAGAATTCTGTTCTCAGTTAATGTAATTATGATGTGCCTTGGTGTGTTCCTCCTTGGTTCCACCTTCTTTGGGACTCTCTGAACTTCCTGGACTTCCTGGAAGTCTATTATCTTTGCCAGATTGGGGAAGTTCTCATTTATTATTTGTTCAAATAAGTTTTCCACTTGTTGCTCTTCCTCTTCTCCTCATGGCACCCCTATGATTCTCACATTGAAACATTTAAAGATGTTCTGGAGGTTCCTAAGCCTCTCCTAATTTTTTTGAATTCTTGTTTCTTCATATTTTTCTGTTTGGTCATTTTTTTCCCTTCTGGTCCACTCTATTGATTTGAGTCCCAATTTTCTTCTCATCACTGTTGGTTCCCAGTGCATTTTCCTTCATTTCACTTAGTGTAGCTTCATTTTTTCATCTAATTTGTGACTAAAATCAATCAATTCTGTGAGCATCCTGATCACCAGTGTTTTGAACTGTGCATCTGATAGGTTGGCTATCTCTTGGTTGCTTAGAAGTATTGGCTCTAGCCCTGGCTGGTGTAGCTCAGTGGATTGAGTGCGGGCCTGTGAACCATACAATCACGGTTTGATTCCCAGTCAGGGCACATGCCTGGGTTGCAGGCCGGTTCCCTGCAGGCCAGTTCCCAGCAGGGGATGCACTAAGGCAACCATACATTGATGATTCTCTCCCTCTCTCCTTCCCCCCTTCCCCTCTAAAGATAAATAAATAAAATCATAAAAAAAAAAGAAGTATTGGCTCTAGGACTTTGAGTTGTTCTGCTTGAGCCATAATGTTTTGGTCTGTTCACACCTGTTACGATGGGTGAAAGCTTAGATATTCACTGGGGTGGGTAACCCAGTTGCTGGGTTGTGACTGGGGGTGGGGTCAGAGAGGGAGCAATGGCGTTTGTTCTGCTCTTGGATTTCGGTCCCCTCTGCCGCTTCCCACAAGCAAATTGGGATCTTCTGGTGCTTGTTCCTGGGTGGGTGGGTTTGTGTACATTCTAGGACCCTGTGGGTCTCTCCAGCGAACTCTCCTGTGAGGCTGGGAGCCTCTCCTGGCACCTCAATCCCTGAAAAAAATTTGAATTAGTGCTTTTAGGCTTTATTCCTCAGCGCTGGGGCCCTGTGTTGCGTGGTCTGTCTCACTGTCCATTTTTTCACCTGGTTTATTTGCACATGAATGTGTGACCATGGTCAATCAGCCACCTTGCACCCTCACTGGGTCTGCCAGTTGCTACTCCATGCCTAGGATCTGCCAACCTCTGCCTGAGTGCCTGTGTTGGTCCGGTCGCTTTTTCCTGCCTTGACCCCTCTCTGCCAGCCACCGACTCTGCCCCTCTACCCCTCAGTTGGGATGAATGGTTTATTGTTGTCGGACTTCAGTACAATTCAATTTTCTGTCTGTTTTGGTTGTGTTTTTGTTTCTAAATCTCTGTTGTCCTTGAATTTGGTTGTGCGAGGGGGTGCAGTATTTCCACCTACATCTCCATCTTGGCCATAAGTCCTCATTAATTTTCTTGAGCATCCTTATAAACAAGTGTTTTGAACTCCCCATCTAGTAGATTGCTTGTCATCATTTTTTTTAGTTCTTTTTCTGGATTTTTGTTCTGTTCTTTCATTTGGGACATTTTCTTTTTAGTCTCTTCATTTTGGCGGCCTCTCTGTGTTTGTTTCTACGTATTAAGCAGAGCTGCTACATCTCCAGGCTTGGTGGAATGACCTAATGTAGTAGGTGTCCTGCAGAGTCCAGTGGCACTGCCTCCCCTATTGCCCAAGCTGGGTACTCAAGGTATGGCTTCTTTGTGGATTGTGCACACCCTCCTGTTATGTTTGAGCATTGCTTGCTGTTGGCATGTACAAGGTCAGCCACTGACTGTGTTCTGTCTGAGTTCACACAGTGTAAGCTTCAAAGCAATCTGCAGATGGATGCTACTTTTGTTGGCCTTAGAGGTGCCCAGGTGAGTCCAAGCTGTGAACCAAGACTGGCTGCTGCTAGTGTCAGGCCTGGGGCTACTTAGAAAAAAGTATGGGACTTGTTGAAGCCAGATTCTGCTTGTTTGAGAGAAATTAGCCTGGGTCATCTATATGGAAAAGCCATTGGAAATACGTAAGTGGGCCTGAAAATTGGGTGGGGCATGGCCTCAGGGAATCACTGAGGTGTGGTAAACAGTGTGAGCCACATTGATTGAATCTAAGATATGGCACCTGCCTGCTGGCTCTGTGGTGGTAGGGCTTAGAAAGGGAACAATGGCTTTGGCCAGCATTCTTTCTGGGATAAATCTGTCCCCCAACTTTTGCCCCGAATCCAGACAATTCAGTTATCCCCCATATGTCTCTGGTGTCTTTTTATCTGTTGCCCCCATGATGGAGCCCAAAGGGAGTCAGTCCAAGTTAAGTCTGTGCATGGGCCCTTTAAGAGGAATCGCCTGTGACTCCAGCAGTTTCCTCATTCCACAGCCTCAATTCCCATGGTTTTTACAGCCAGAAGTTATGGGGACTTTTCTTCATGGCACTGGAACCCTAGGATGGGTGCCTCACCCCTCAGATATCCATCCTGATTTTTATGTCACATGCGGGTGACCAGCCTGTTTTACCTTCTCAGTGCCTCCTTCCAGCCTCAGTATAGTTTCTCCTTTATTCCTTAGGTGATTTCTTTAATTCCATAATTGTAAGACTTCTATTCAGCTGGATTTCTGACAGGTATAAATGATGGTTGTTATATAGTTTAGTTGTAATTTGATGTGGTTGTACAAGGAGGTGGGCCATGTTTATTTACACCACCACTTTGACCTGAATTCCAATCTCATAGTATTGTGACAGTTTTTTTCTTCTTTATTTTAGGCGTGTGCCCGCTTATCTTCATCTCAGGTGGTAAGAGTCAATTTTCCTGATTGCTTCTGGGGAGATTTATGATGATTAAGTTGTCTAGGAGGCATGTAAGTGATTTCAGGAAGTCAGGTGCCTTCAGCTGAATATAATGGTTAGGCTGCAGTGTAGTATTTCAACAATCACTTCCCTTCTCACCCTGCCCAATTACAAGGCCTTAACACCATCTTTGTGGCTCTCTAGGAGCTCTCCTGTGAACACTAGACCATCCAACCCTCTGCTTCATCTCTGCTTGAATGTCTTAAAAAGTATCATATTCCACCGTGTATAAAGTGTACTTTTTTGCCCAAATTTTTGAGGGAAAAGTAAGGGCGCATATTGTACATGGGTAGTACCTGAAATACCATGTATCTTTTCTTGTGTTTTGTAATTATTTGTTCATAAAATTTCCTTGTACCATAATATGTTCAAAAATAAATGCTAAAATTCCTTTAAAATATAAAAAACAAGTATCTAAATATAAATAAATTAAAAATTGAATTAAAAAATTAAAACAAAAGCTCTTTTTCCTGAAAGTTTGGGTCAAAAACATAGATGCACATTATACATGGCAAAATGTAGTATATGTCCCAAGCTAAACATCCTAATGTGTCCTGAAATCAAAGGGAAGAAAGCATTTCTAGGAAGGAATATTCTACTTTGTCATTGTTGCTGATAGTTTGCCTAAGATGAGGACTTACAATTGATCATTAATACAGAAGAAACCACTTAATTGTCCACATATTAAAAGGGTGGATATTATGGTCTGTGAATTGTATTTTAATTAAAAAAATTGGTCACTGGGGAGAAAATAGGCAGGAAAATTTCAGATATTCCATATAGCAATATTCTCACTGATATGTTCCCTAGAGCAAGGGATACAAAGGAAAGAATAAACAAATGGGACTACATCAAATTTAAAAGCTTCTGCATAGCTAAAGAAAACATCAGCAAAATGAAAAGGGAACCAACCATATGGGAAAATACATTTGCCAATGATACCTTGGACAAGAGTTTGAGCTCCAAAATACATAAAGAACTCACACAACTCCACGCCAGGAAGACAAACAATCCAACTAAAAAATGGCCAAAGTACCTGAACAGACAATTTTCCAAGGAGGACTTATAGAGGGCCCAGAGACATATGAAAGAATGTCCAACATCACTAGCCATCAGAGAGATGCAAATTAAAACCACAATAAGATACCACTTCACAGTGGTCAGAACAGCCATCAAAAACAAATCAACACACAACAAGTACTGGCAAGGTTGTGCATAAAAGGGAACCCTAGTGCACTGTTGGTGGTAATGCAGACTGGTGCAGCCACTGTGGAAAACAGTATGGAATTTCCTCAAAAATCTAAAAATGGAACTACCTTTTGACTAGGCAATTTCACTGCTGGGATTATACCCTAAGAATCCTGAAACACCAATTTAAAAGAATCTATGCACCCCAATGTTCATAGCAGCACAATTTATAATAGGCAAGTGTTGGAAGCAACCTAAGTGCCCATCAGTAAATGAGTGAATCAAAAAACTGTAATACATTTACACAATGGAATACTATGCAGCAGAAAGGAAGAAGGAACTCCTACCCTTTGTGACAGCATAGATGGAACTGAAGAGTATTCTATTAAGTGAAATAAGCCAGGTGGTGAAAGACGAATATATGATCTCACCTTAAGTGAAACCTAATCAACAGAACGAACAAGTGAGCAAAATAGAACCAGAGACATGAACTGACAGTGACCAGAGGGGAGGAGGAGGGGAATAATAGGGGAAAGAAGGGAAAGGGGCAAGTCAAGGAACATGTATAAAGGATCCATGGACAAAGATGATGGGTGGGGGAGGATTTAATGTGGGTGGTGAGGAGTGGATAGGGCAGGAGAGAGTAATGGGGGAAAAAGGGGACAACTGTAATTGAACAATAATTTTAAAAAAATTAAAAAATAATTGGTCATTGGATATGTCACTTTGGCTGTCACCTTATTTAGTTTAGAGTAGTTTTGATATGAGGATGACCTGAGTGGAGTGGGTTTAAGAATGAATTGGAGGGAGAGAGGACATGGAGGCCAATGAACAGGAAAGAATGACTCAAAGTGGTGGTCAAAATTTGGGATTTATATACCATATTAATAAGAAGGGATGTGGGAATAGGTCAAAATGTTACCGAAATTTTATAATCAGTAGAGAAGGAAAAATTGATACCTGGGACAAAAAAGTGAGGGTGGTGGACATTACTGGAGAGCTGTCCTTCCTTGAGTAAGAAAAAAGAGAATGAGAAGCAGTATGTGAGCAGGGGGTCAACCTAAGGTAGAAAGAAAGAGAGTCCTAGTATAGTTGGCCTCTCATAAATAGAGAGAATGGGATAAAAAAAATAAGTGAATGAAAGATGGGAAAGAAAGGTTTGGAAGAAGACAAGGTCTTTATTTATAATTCCAAGGTGGGAGCATGCATGGCTGAGGTAGCAGGGAGGCTACTTTTTCTCTTTTCACTAGAAGAGAAAAGGTTATGGGGCCATGGAGACCAAGGACAAATATCAGTATGGATTTTTGAAATTCCCTTCAGTCAACAAAATCAAAATTGTTTATGATAGTGTAAACCATTGATGCCTGGTAGAAAACATTTCACACTAGGAAGCTCAAGTGAATTTGGATCTGTATGATTTATTTAAAAATTGGAATGCATAAATTACTGCATAATGAAGATCCCAAGAGGGTGGTGTTGTTTTTTAGCTAAAAGTATTCCTTTTGGGGCATCTCACAGACATCTAAAACCTAGTCCAAGCATGTCTCACCTGACATATAGCCTTCTGACTGGCTCTTGCTTCCACAGTTGCCACACAGTAGCTAGAGTGATCTTTTTACTAAAAATAAAATTAGTGTCATGCACCTATATTGCTTAAAAGACCTCAGTGGCTTCTTGATGACTGTACAAACCTCCTATGATGGTCTCTTCCTAATCTGTCTGACCAACCTTGTCCTCAGTAACACTTTAACTCTGCCCCATTGTTGTGGAGGTCTAAAGAGCCAGACACAGATTGCTCCTTGGCTTGAAGACTTCAGTGGTCTGACTACACTGTACATTGCTGAGCAGTTTTTGGACATGACTAGAGTGTCAATCTTGGATTCTTCAGGGTGGATCTGTCAAATCAGAGGCAATGTAAAAACTCATTAGTCAATACAGGACATTTAAAATGCAAGAGTTAATTTCTGGAAGTTAAAATTCAGATTTTGAATTATTTCTTAGCAATATTTAATACTACCCTTTTATTTTATTCAAAAAATTTATGGCAATCACCTGACATGACTTGTGAACCCTAACTTCTTGTCAGGGTTATAACCTCTTGGCATTAGCCCAGTAAATTGTTGGACCTATGGGTTTGCAGAGCATGTCCATTTGACTTAGAGACTGTGTGCAATTCCCCACTTCCTGTTGTCACCCCTAGAAAAAAACATGTAAGAGGAAGGCCCAGGCTCCTACCAGCATGTGCAATAGTTCCACTGTGGGCAGGTGTCTGCTGAGAACTTCAGAATCAACCTGTCTACTCCTCTTCTTAACCTATGTGCAGTTTTCATTGTATTATGCACTCCATTTCAAATGGACTCTCAGATTAAGAGCATGGTAAAAGTAAAATACAGAGGGAAAAAGCATTTTAAATGCAGGTTACCATTCTTTTAATAGATCAGCATCTCTAGAAGAAAACTGAACTTTGCAAAAAGTAAAAGTAGTTCTCACTAGTTACAAAGCAATACGAAGAGGTGGGAAGTGACATAGGTAGACCACCAAAAAGGGGCAGCTGAAAAGGGGAAAAACAATCTCATTAATTCCAAGACCCTTGATCCTGTTTGAAAGGACTCTTCCAGCTGGCCGGGAGATGTGATCAGGCCAGATGACAAAGTAAGCAGGCTCAGTTTGTTGGGAAGCATTTGGATTCCTTTTTCATGTAAGGATCTGTAGTCTTTATTTAGGTCTAGGGCACAGAAAGTGATAAAAACCCACTTAGGACAAGCTGACGCAGTGGAAGCAAGAAAATAGCAACAAAGTGGGAAACTGCATCTCGTAATAAAGGCATTAGATAGAATTTGTGGTGTATATATATATGATTTGTGGTATATATATATATATATATATATATATATACATACACACACACACACATATATATATATATATATAAAATGCTAATCCAATGAGAGCAACATCTATGCCCAGAGAGCATTTGCCCATGTTTACTTGTAGGCAGTTACTTTTAGTGAGTCATCTAAACCCAGTACACTGTATTAATTAGAGATCAAGTACTTTGAGGTCAGTATGGTGCTGAGGTATTGTGTTTTCTGCATTTTGTAATCAGTGGTATGCATTATTTGTTCCATTTTCATGGTAAAAGTTTAAAAAGTTTGTTTTTTTGGAATAATGTGCATCAGCAGGATGGTGTGTGTCAGTTATATCTATCTAATGATTTGATTCATCACTCATGAATTACTAAAGCCCTGCTGTCCATCTGAGATTGTTATGTTGAGATGGAGATGGGGTCAAGGCTGTCGTTAGTGGTCAACAAAGAATTGGACTGACCACACAGGTATTCTAAGACAAAGCAAGTGGGAAATTTATTAAGAAAAGTATACTTCCTAAGAAATGGAAGTGGGCAATCTCTGGCTATGTTCTACTGAAGGTTATAGGCTTTTCTCTTAAAAAAAAAAGTATGTTTCTTTGATTTTGCTGTTATAGTTGTCCCATTTTTTTTCTCCACTTCATTCCCCTCTGTCCTGCACACCCCCTCCTACCAGCATTCCCCCACCTCAGTTCATGTCCATGGGTCACATATATAAGTTCTTTGGCTTCTCCATTTCTTGTACTATTTTTTACCCCCCCCACCCAGGTAGGTCTATTTTGTACTTACATTTTATGTGTCTTATTCCCTGTATCTTTTCCCTTATTCTACCCCCTCCCCACTGATAACCCTCCATGTGATCTCAATGTCTGTGATTCTGTACCTGTTCTAG